CGCACCAGATGTTCCACCTATTGTTCGCTATCGCACCATCGAAACTGTTTCACTTTGTATCGGTGACATTGTTTCACAACGCTTTATTTATTTTCGTTTGCTGATTTTGTTATTTTATGGAAACATTGAATGTTTGCTATATCATAATAGTAATATTCACTTCGCTCAGTGTTCCTATTATTCCGTTTTTTTTTATTTACCTGTATTAACATGTATATCTATTATAAATTAAAATAATGTTCGTATTTTTTGTTCGTACAAAACATTGTAATGTTCAATAGTATGTAAAAAATAAATCTATTTGCTAAAATTACGTATGGAAAATAAATTTCTATGATAAAGTTACCTTACGAAACATTCATTACTTTTATTCAAAAACACAATCCTAAAAAGAAATCCTATTCTAAAACAACACAATATCCTTTCTTGTATTTTTGTAATTTTATTATAAAAAAAAGTATTTTTTTTAAACTTTATGTCAAATTTGTTAAGTACATTTTCTTCGTACAGTTCATTGAAATAAAATAAAAATATGAACTGAAGAACATCGTCATCATCGACAAATAATTAATTTGTGATACGATGAAATAAACATAAATAATACATACGAGCATTGTGATATTTCACAACTCCGTTGAGGATCCCCTTCAGTATTGGTAAATCTTCTCCCATGTCTGAGACCATGTTTATTTTACACTAATAACTAGGAATTCACAGCCGATGGCCACTGATAACTAAATTGGTAACTTTATGTTGTAGTCAGTTTTAATAAGTGTCACATAGCACAAGTCAATTTATTTATTTTTGAACACAAACACTGTAATCCGTTATTGAAGTTGTGGTAATCCAATGTTTGAGTCGAAGTCAGCGAGTTGCTAGTAGTGAGAGCGGAGAGTGAGCGACGCTCGAGTTCTCGTGACGGACTGGCGAACGACGCACTGACATAGCGACTGCGATGAGGGCTGACGACCGGTGCGCGGGCCGGACTCCCTCGCACTGCGCCGCGGCGCGCGCCGACACAACCTTGAACTTGAAGCGGGCGGGTGGTAGGGGGCCGGGAGGGGGGCGCCGTCAATAAACTCCGCGCAGATCCCCCCGCCCGCCGCGCGCCCCTAGTCCCGCTCGCCCTACCTTATGACCCGTGATCGCTGGTCCCTACCGTTCGCAATTTTATTGCTAAATTTAGATCTAAATTCATCATAAAAATTATTTGAATAATTTTATTTAAAATTGTTTATTGTTCATTTAATATTTGAATTTAACATACACTGCTGCTTATCGAAAATTAGAAAGTCGTAGCCTTCTTAATTTTTTAAGATCATCGATTCCATTGCTTTAATTTTTACTAATGTATACTCGATATTCTTTCAGATATGATAATGACAATAATAACGTTTTAGTACACTTAAATTATTTTGATTTATAATAAATACGAAATATGAAAACAATAAAATAATGTGCACTATTATGGGAATGTAACATATATTTTATGAATATGTTAATTTTTATTATAATTATTATTTTTCAATGAACAAATATAAACAAAAAAAAATCGGAAAAGTGTCAATACGTTAAAAATTGATATTTGAGTTCCATTGGGTTGTTTTTGTAAACGGTACAACGGTATATTTATAAACTATTTATGTTTATAAAAATGATAAATCTATAATCTATAATTGATCTAAGCAATTTGTATGCGATAAAAGAATTTATTGATTACTGTCGAAATGTCTATCACGTAAAATTAAATCAACGTTAGTTCAACAAAAGTCCGCATACCGGCCTATAGCGCTGATTTAAAAGAAGAGAGCGCCATCTGTTATCGAGCGGCGAAACTAAAACAATTTTACTTCATAAATCCCTTACAAATAATTTACGTTACGAGCGTAGTAGCGTCGATTGTACTCATGTTTAATTTATGTGAAAATTTACAGCATAACTATTAATATTATTTACAAAGTAAATTTTAACGCGAAGTAGATCAATGTTGCCACCAAAATGTAAGCGACGTACTTCTGATTTGTAATATTAATACTTCTCAATCGTGTCCGTAATTTCCTGTGATTTAAAACGTGAATTGAGGCCAAGAAAGTAATTAATACGTTTTGTATTTGTAAAAGTTACGTAGGTAAGGAATCTGGCGGAACTACTCAATCGAGGAGCGTTGAACTGCATTATGAAAGTGAAAATACAAATTTCACTCTCGTGCTTACGAAATGCACCTTTCTCCGCTTTCACGTTGCGTGAACGGCCGCGAGCGGCGAGC